AAGAAGAAGAAGAAGAAGAAGAAGAAGAAGAAGAAGAAGAAGAAGAAGAAGAAAGACTTTGCCAAAGCAAAGAGTTGGTAGCAGGGTTTTGTTTATTGCCTTCAAGACACATAATTTATTTGTTCTTAAAAAACATAGGGTAATATACACAACATGCTCTCATTCACAAACACAATCACCACCATACGGTCGCTTTTAAGGACAAGCGGACTAACCCAGATTTCGGGGGTTTTCAGAAATCTTGACCTGCACCAAAAGTGGGCATTGCCCTACCTATAGGAGACGTTTGGTTTCTTTTGTGTGTGCATTTGTTTGGTTATAGATAAAAATCCTTGTATCTTAAAGAGACTGAATAAGGATCCAAAAACTTAACCTTCGATTTTCTCAAAACAGCATTTGATAGGATAGCCCTCTTGTGCGTAAAGGCGACCATACTTACTCATCGGCAACTTTCAGTCAAGTCAATATCAATTTATCGTTCAAACTTACGCTAAAGGACATCGATAGCTCGTTGGTGTTTTAACAGACTACAGAGTAAATTAACTTGGTTTGGACCCTAAGCGGGGCATCTTTTAACTTGGACTGGTTGCAGAACTTTCAAGGGTCTCCATCCACCCATTAACATTGGCTTGGCTTATCGCAGATGGTTGCTACAAAAAAATCAAAGGTACTGCGTCTCCTAAATTGACCTTGGTGGTTTTGGAGTAAATCTGTATGTTTCAGTATGTATGCATCTATATGTCTCTATATATTTATTAAATCGTGTGTATTCGATTTTATGTACGGTGGCGTATTTATGTATGTTACGCCATGGTAAACCAAAATGTCCCCACGGGGATCAATAAAAAGTGGAATTGGAACTGGAATTGGATTGGTGTGTTAAAACTTTAGCATATTCAGATTCTTAACCCTATCCCTGACAACTGGGTGTGATCCACCCATGTTGTCAGGAATGTGATGGGAAATATGTTGTCAGGGATAGGGTTAAACATGTAGGCTATAGACCTATAAAAGTAAGCAAGATAAACATTTTAACTACCGACTTCTGTAGTGAATCGCTTCTAGACACTTCGCCGTCGCACACAAAAGAGTGGGAACATTTTTTTTCTTAAAAATCAGGCACCTCGGTCTTTCTGCATGGACGTCGTATCTCTCTCAGCCCGAGTTGGCCCTGGCTGGCAGGATCGAAACCCACCTCCTAAATTATGTAGACTGTGTCAATGGGGGCGTAAAACTACCTATGTTTAGAAGAAAAAAAAGCTTTTAAGCTCTTGAGTCCACGGCGTGCTTCAAAATTAATGCAGTTGGTCTTTATTCTTTCAAGACAGCTTTTATAGAAAAAGAAGCATAAAGTTGTGACAAAATTAGTTATAACATCGTTTGTGGGCCCCATGTCCTTGAACTCTGCGATGTTCGTGGATATCATCTTTTGGATCTTTGTGATCAACCTCAGGTTAGTCAGGAAGACAATGACATGCTCAATTCTGTAAAATTTACTTGTATGTACATGTATGTTATTATTCTGGTGACATCCATTGTAGCCCAATTCTTTAAAGCCAATTTGATCAAATCAACTCATGCATGTTTGTGTGTGTGTGTGTGTATGTGTGTGCGTTTGTGTGCGTATGTGTGTGTGTGTGTGTGTGTGTGCGCGCGCGCGTTTGTGTGCGTGTGCGTATGTGTATGTGTATGTGTGTGTGTGTGTGTGTGTGTG